CTTAAAAGGAAAGACTTAAAGAAGGGAGTTTGGCCAACAAATCGAAGCTTCGGTTTCAGACCCGATGGTCCGATTTTGAACACCTGTCCAAAACTAATTTATAATTCTAGTCCTTTTTATTCTTTGCACATTTAATAACTGACCACTTTCTTTTGTTCCTTTGGTCGTGGTCTGATCTTCGGACATTTCTTTGTCTCATTTCGCGGAAATTGGAAAAATGTTTTTTTTTTTTTTTGGGGGCAGAAAAAAAACAAATGGGCCTTAAAAGGCCACATTTTTTACATGGGCCAATAAACTCTTGTTTCGAGAATTCGTCGGCTCACACGTAACTGTCGGATGTCTAAGCTGATAGTGATAGGTAGTTATGACTTATCAAAGAGTAATTGTAACTCTTGTAATCAAGGTTTACACGTAATAAACCGTTTACTCTTAAATTGGTTAATCATAATATCTTACTATTTGATATGAACCCATATTGATATGAAACATTGAACACATGCTAATTATGCAATTATCGAGGAGAGCCTAATAAGCATATAAAACAAGTAGCCACTACTTATCACGTGTTTATACGCGCGTGACTACCACCCCAAACCAACGGTAGCCATTGAAAAAATAAAAAACAGAGCCTAACAAAGCGAGTATAATAGTTTAGTCTAATCACGCGAGTAGATTTTTGATTTCGTTTGTTGGTAATAATAATAAGACAACCTTATCCAGAGTAAGCTTGCCACGTTTACAAAAACAATTATTGTCTGTTAGTCACCGTCCCCGTAACTCTAGATAATCTCTCTCTCTCTGTCTTCTTCTTTAAAAATGTTTCCTTTTTTTTTTTTCACGGCTTCGTTTGTGCCCGTCACAATTACCTCGGCGATTCTCAATCCTCTGCTTTTATTTTTCCTAATTTTTAAAATATTCCGGGAAAGTTCCCGAGATTCCAAAGGAAAAATCCATTACTGGAATTTTCTCGGGGCAAACAAAATTCTTTCCCATTTCTCAAATTTTTGTCTCCTGGAGTCTGGGGATTTTCAAACCAATCGCAGATTGAGGTCAAACCGGTATTGATAAGAAGATGACATTGACGATCCAAACCGCACCTGGTAGCTCCGGTTACTTGGATATGTTCCCAGAGAGAAGAATGTCGTATTTTGGCAATTCTTACATTCTTGGTTTGACTGTCACTGCCGGAATCGGTGGACTTCTTTTCGGTTACGACACAGGTCTGAATCCTTAGATTTGATGTCTTTACTCAGCCCATTTGTTGAAAAGTTTTCAAATTTGATTTGTATCTCATTGAAAAAGCCTTTAAGAAATTGTTCCTTTTACAGGTGTAATTTCCGGTGCTCTTCTGTATATTAAGGATGATTTCGAAGTCGTTAAGCAGAGCAGCTTCTTACAGGTATAGTATATGTTTCTTGTGTTTAATCTTTTTCCAAGATTGTAACTTTTAAGTGTTGGTAGTGAACAGTGAAGAATGTGGATCTTCTTGTAGGAAACTATTGTAAGTATGGCTTTAGTTGGTGCAATGATTGGTGCTGCATCAGGAGGTTGGATTAATGACTACTACGGTCGTAAAAAGGCGACTCTTTTTGCTGATGTTGTCTTTGCAGTTGGAGCAATCGTTATGGCTGCTGCACCTGATCCGTATGTTTTAATATCGGGTCGGCTACTGGTTGGTTTAGGAGTTGGTGTTGCTTCTGTGACTGCTCCGGTTTATATAGCCGAAGCATCTCCATCGGAAGTTAGAGGTGGACTTGTGAGCACTAATGTTTTGATGATCACTGGTGGACAGTTTCTTTCGTACCTTGTTAATTCTGCTTTCACACAGGTTAGTTAGACATATCTTTCTTCAATACAAAAAGTTTAAGTTACTTCCATAGAGAGCAACAGTCTATTATCTTCGACAATGCGCCATTCATGTTATGTGCATTGTAAGTAGACTAGGAATTTCCATACCGGCCCGTGAACTTAGAACTGTTTATCACTTTACAAGTATGCCCGGACTCTGGTTAGAGGAGCAAGAACCAAGATATTTGATTATTGTGAATTCAGTGGTTAAGTTTGCCTATGTTACCTATATTGTTTTCATAAATTGAAAGTGAACTAGACCTGACTGTTTGATTTCTATCGCTGTTGATGTCTCGGCTCAGTTATGTCTCATGTTAATGTAGTTAACAAAATCATGCTACAGTCGCATTGTGACCTTGATTTTTGGTTTATCTCAACGCTCAAGTTTGCTTTCCTGCAGTTCTTCATGTCCCAGCTAAGGCAGCTTATCTGTCCTTTCACCATGACGAGAAAATAAGTCATATCCTGAGTTCAGACCAAGGTCACTTTTTGGTGGTCCTTTACAGTGATCCAGTTTTGCATTTGGAACTAGTTTTCCATAAATCCAATTAAAACAAGTGAATTTGATTTTATGAAAATGTAAGGTTGTTATAGATTTTATGCAAATGTAGCTTGGTACTTATAAGAAAAGTGAGACCAGTTTTCATGTCTAAGAAACCATATAAAGAAATGTAGTTTTGGCATTTTATTGGTGGATTCTGAATTCATGATATTATTGTTGGTAGGTTCCAGGAACATGGAGATGGATGCTTGGTGTTTCAGGCGTTCCTGCTGTTATTCAATTTGGTCTCATGCTTTTCATGCCAGAATCCCCGCGATGGCTTTTCATGAAGAATCGTAAAGCGGAAGCCATCCAAGTACTTACCAAAATCTATGACATCTCGCGGTTAGAGGACGAGATTGATCATCTTACCGCGGCTGAAGAGGAAGAACAACAAAGGAAAGGCACTATTAGCTACTTGGATGTTTTTAGATCCAAAGAAATGAGACTCGCATTTTTCGCGGGAGCAGGACTTCAGGTAAAGTAAATGTCGAAGTTTTCAGTCTTGACCGAGAAATTTATAGGACTTTCGGATTTGAAGTAAGATAAAATGTCTTGAATGTTGCAGGCATTTCAGCAATTCACCGGTATCAATACCGTAATGTACTATAGCCCTACGATAGTCCAAATGGCTGGATTTCATTCAAACCAGCTCGCTCTGTTGCTCTCTCTCATCGTTGCTGCTATGAATGCCGCTGGAACAGTAGTGGGGATTTATTTTATCGATCATTGTGGAAGGAAAAAGCTTGCTCTCTCGAGTTTATGCGGAGTCATTATATCTCTCATAATCTTCTCAGTCTCGTTCTTCAAACAATCTGATGCATCATCTGATGGAGGGCTTTACGGTTGGCTCGCTGTGCTTGGTTTAGCTCTATACATTGCTTTCTTTGCACCGGGAATGGGACCGGTCCCATGGACAGTAAACTCAGAGATATACCCACAACAGTACCGAGGCATATGTGGAGGCATGTCTGCAACAGTAAACTGGATCAGCAATTTGATTGTGGCACAAACATTCTTGTCGATAGCGGAAGCTGCTGGCACAGGGATGACTTTCCTGATATTGGCGGGCATCGCGGTTCTTGCGGTTATCTTTGTGATTGTGTTTGTCCCTGAGACGCAAGGACTAACGTTTTCGGAAGTTGAACAGATTTGGAAAGAGAGAGCTTGGGGACATAACAGCGGTTGGGGCAGTAGCAGCGATAGCAACAACCTTGAGGGCGAGGGGCTAATCGAGCAGGGATCTCGGTCTTAACGGTCTTGAGAGTGGCTCATGCTCATACATTTGTGAAATCACAGAGTAAACCATGATTGGTTCCGGTTTAGCTCTGTAATATGTTGGAATTGTAATGTGTTAGGAACTGTATTTGTAAATAAACGCATCAAGGGTCCACTTTGGGTTCCAATCTTGTCCATGTCTTAATGTTCCATAGATTTCTTGTCTATGACCATCAAAACGCTGTGTTTTATGTTGAATCACAAACATAAGACTTGTCTTCAAGTCACAAGACTTAGGAACTGTGTGCCATTTATCTTCTTCTTCTGTTATACTACTATTAACAGATAGGATATTTTTGTGTTTTTATCGAGAACATTGATTGACTGAGGAACACAAAGGGAGATGAAAATAAGAAAACATTTATTGTATTGGACACTCCAATAATAATATTAGGGACATAAAAAGGTCCACCAAAATGTATGATTGGATATTGTATAAACGTATCCTTTGTGTTGTCTTATGTGTCAGTATACAATGTAGGTTTGTGTTTTGGTAGAATTCAATACTTTTTTTTTGTGCGTCTATGATGATTTGCAACTTTAATCATCTATATTCATTTTTTTTTGTACTTATCTCAAATATATTGTCATTTTTTAGGTATGGTTATCTAGCTGGTGCCATTTTATTTCTTTTGTTGTCAAAGTTTCTATGATATAAATAGATTTTCTGGATTAAAGTTTCATGCAAATCATTTTTATTCGTCGTATAGCTTTAAATTTGACTTCTCAAAATAATTTTGTAGCCACTGTTACATTTACAAACTAACTATATGTTCTCAAATAAACTTGGACATCATAGAAATAAGTATGAAAATAGCGGATAAAAGTATTTAGCATATAAAAAAATTTCTATATGATTTGTATTTT